CAAAATAATACAGTAATTTTTTAATTTAGATTTTTATAAAACTGCGAAATTTAGGCTAAAATCGGACTTTGACAAACTTTTACTGAATTGGAAAAATTTTGAAACACTGAATATCGCAATACATGCAGGGGGGTTAAATCGAAAGGTGCTGAGGTCCTCCACTCCCCAGCCATCGATAATCCACCCCTCAAGTTACACGGTGAAGTCGTTGTTGGTATGAACTATTTGACAATAATTTCCTTGGCGATACCAACAATTAGTTGGAAGATATCCCTATACTGTGCAGCTTTCCCCACACTGAACAGCTTTCTCTGTGGTGGTTGGTATTCAAGTAACTATATATTATCACACTCCGCTCCAAGGGCGCCGGAAGAGGCGACTGTGGGATATGTCAAAAGTATGGAGTGTCCGTGGACGGCTTGCTCGTGCTTCGGGTTACTTTGCTACTGTTATTGGTCACAGTCAAGAGGCTAAACGTACTAGGGTCATGCTAAACGTACTAGTCATGCTAAACGTACTAGTCATGCTAAACGTACTAAACTCATGCTAAACGTATTAGTCATGCTAAACGTACTACAGTCATGCTAAACGTACTACAGTCATGCTAAATGTACTAGAGTCATGCTGAACGTACTAGTCATGCTAAACGTACTAGAGTCATGCTAAACGTACTAGAGTAATGCTGAACGTACTAGAGTCAAACTTCCATCTGGTGCTAAAAACTTTTACCATCCAGTAACAGAAGCATGGTTGGAATTCTTGCAGGAGGAAGACCTTATATAGCTCATATTGAAAGCTGATATAGCCAAATTGTTGACCGTAAGTGATAGAAAGTGAACCTGTGGGGTATCTTTATGATGGTGATAACCGTCAACGTTGGTAAGGCTTTCACAGTCAAGATAAATATCAACTGGTTGCAAGGCTTGTCGTATTGCTGCCCGCAGACCCGGAAGAATTTGTTGGCAAGACCGACACACCAAGGAGGAGATTGAAAATGTCTCATACTAAATAAATGTATTATTTAATTTATCTTGTTTTCGATAGATGGCAGTTAATGCCAAGTTTAAAATACCAACACCAGTGTCAAAGGTGCAAAACTTCCGGTACTGCTATCGTTGATTGATCTCGTTTGGATGTTGTTACATCTCGCTTGTACAAGCGACGTTAACCGTTGCGCGTGGATTCTGTGGCCTATATACATTATTACATATTATATCCTCGATTAAGCATAAAAAACGCGGATGCGTTGAACCCCTGAGAACTAAGATAGAATGCCTCGTTTCCAGTAAAAAAGGTCTCCATTTCTTCTACACTCACGATACGAAATACAACAGCATTAAGCTGCTATTTCACGCTAATGGTCTGTGAGAGTGTGGTCCTTACCCGGTCGAGTCCACCCTCTCGTTCTACAAGCATAGTATTACTTCAGCGTGGCTCACCACGTACAAAACGATAGCTTTTTTTTAAATAAGAAAATATATTTTTTGTAACAAGAAACTCGCCACACGCATCTTCTTCTTTTGTAAGTGAACTGTTTGCACAATTTCAGATTCACTCACATAATGGAGCCCCACGAAAGAATGAAAGGATATGGTTAAGTGAATTCTTACATAAGTTGTAACTCATTCACTCTCCCGTATATTACATATAATTTCATTGCTATTGTCTTAGTATTATCTGAAAATCGGACAGTGAATGTGTTAAATATAGTTGCGTTTTTTAAAATCCTCGTTACTAGCAATGCTATCAACATTACTATATTCCCTTTAACCACTCCTAGTCTTATGACTCGACCACACTACGCTCATCGCGCTGCTCATCGCTCTACTCCTCGCACTATCAGCCCACACACTGCTCTACTCACGCAATTAATCGCGACGATCTGCACTACGTCGCTCGCGTTTGCAACACAATGGATGTTGAAACTGTTGCAGCCATAGAATACTATAATATACAAGGTGTAAGTGTAAACATCGTTGTCACTAAAACCATAGGTAGTTGGCTTTAATATAAAAATATTTATCCGAATTTTTTAAAAAAAACGCTATTTTCTTCCATAAAATTTAAAAAGTTTCTGTCCGACACCGTCCGTAAATTCATGGATACCCTATGTGCCCGAGTGTCGTAATCACTGTAAAGATCACTGCCCGCGCTAGCTACCTACACAACATTCCAATAAAAACACAATAGGTACACATAACCTGTGATCTAAGTTTCTCTTCATACTTTCATCCTGGCTTAGGACAGGCAAAAATTGAGAAATTAAGGAAATATTGAGATTTTACTAAAAAAAATGTTGTTATTTTTCATTGAATTTACGTTCTATAAGTGAAACCAAACCACTGGTTTCAAGGATAACGGTGTTTACACTAATACCCTGTATACATAATAGAACGGTGGAGTGGGTGGAGCCCGCGTAGCCACTAACATGTCAATTCACATATAGTATTCTATGGTTGCAGCGTGCTAGCTATGCATATTCATAAAAATTAAAAGGGGTTAAAGTATACATAAGCAAGTTATGTTTATGTATACTCTGAACTCTTGGCAAGCTTAGGGTGTTACCACACCAATCGATCGAGGTTGGGATGGATTAGTCGACGTCGATCGATAGTTTCTACTACACCGATCGAGAACCCGCGCGCTATTTAAAATGTCTAGATGAAATAAGCTACCCTGGCCTTTAAAAAAGCGGTCCCATCCAGTGTTCTGAGTTTGCGTCTCTGTAATAATAATAAGAGCACATCGATGAATTGTCGGTCGATGATTGAACAAGATTTTATCGACCACTATTCGTCGATCTGCTAAAACTACCATACCAATCGATCGACGATCGATAATTTGGTGTACACCCTTAAATGCTTGTGTTAGGAGTGGTTCACCCACAACCTTTACGCGGTCTGAATCCTGCTATGGCTACTGTCGCTTTGATATTTGTTTATAACATTGAGTGTAATAAATAACCGTAAATATTTTGTTGTTTTATTAAGTACTTTTTTAAATCTACGACAATTATTAAGTACGTTTTTAAATCTACGACTTGCCCAGTGTTTTTAGGCTTAGTGGTGGTAATGCATGCCACTGTGAGCGAGAGGGCTCTTCATACTGGAAAATGTTTTCACACTATTTTATATACCTATGAGTTTTTTTATATAATTTGCTTAGGCGACCAATATCATTCAAGACGATTTTCACAGTTTGGGTAAAATATTTTATATTTCTGTGAATGTTCTAGTGAATCCTCTAAATAGATCTTGATGCTTCTATTTTTGCTACTCGATACTAGATGGCGCCAGTGATGGCACTACTCTGGCGCGCAACAGTATATAATTATAATTGAAAACTCACTAATGAACACAATATGATTTCTCATACAGCTTCTACCTTCTATTAATTATGCAGTTTGAATTTTACGATTTATTAATCAGTTATTCTGTACATATACCACAGTATTTCAAAACTTTTATCATGATTTAAACTTCGGTATAAATAATAAATGTCAGCAGTGGTGCCATCTTTTGAATAAAATGTGTAAATTAGTGGGAAACTAGTGCTTTTACTGCCTGTGAGATGGCGCTAGCATCAACGAAAAGCAAGCTACTAAGGACTTTCATACCTCTGCAGTAGACTAAGGGAGTGGCGGAGAATTTATCGCAACCTAGTGCGCAAAGTATCCCTTCTATTGGTGTAGTTGCCACGATCGACAGGCGTGTTGTCGACCGCAGTTTTTTTTAAATTTTATTTCAAAGTTGTTATAGTCTGGAACTCCTTGCCCGATGACGTCAGAAAAACATCTAATAAGACTGCTTTTAAAAGATTGGTACATAAGCATTTTATGAAAATATTAGATGATAGTTAATATGGTTAATTTTGGTTACCTTTATTGTTATTTTATTTATAGGTTTATATTATATATCTAATTGTATTTAAAATATGTATATATTTATGTATCTATGAATATGTATGTATATATTATATATTATCAGTATTATATTTTGAAGTATATAAGTTTATGGTATTTGTATATATAATATTAGTTTGTTTTTAAGTTTATCAGTAGTTTTTTTCCTTGATTTACTCTATTGTTCATTTTATTTTGTCACCTATCACATAATTTCCACACGTCCCGGGTTGACTGGGAGAGAATGTCTAATGGCATTAAGTCCGCCATTTGTAATCTTTTTATGGTGCAATAAAGTGTAAATAAATAAATATAAAGGAACACTGCCACCCATCTCCAGGTTTAATTACCTCTGTCGCCTCTTACGGCGACAGGGTAGCGGATTCTTATATGATCAGTTTAAAATAAACGAGAAATACTTATTTATTTCAATAATTCCTTTTAATAATGCATAACTTACAAAATTGAGTACAGTTCTATCAGCCATTAATATTCGAAGATAACAAAAACTATTGATAAATTAACCTACAAATCATAGACAAAATTACAGATAATAGACAACAATCAAATATTAAGGTTCATTTACACTATATATTGTCTAAAATAAATTAAATAAACACAGTAATTTGCGACACGTCGTGCAAAGGTACGACCGTAGCAATAGATACGTCGGACATATAATGCTGTAGCTGTAGCTCATCACAAATCGGGATAAATTGATCTGAAGTAGAATTGAGATGGTTACCCTACTCTATCGGGACAAGCTATCCAAAAGCTTCTCTTTGGCGTCTCCCTGAGTCTGTTCCTACAACATCCGGAGGAAGAGTAATGGTGGCACGATTCTGAGGACACCGCCTTGTAAAAATACCCGGAAATAAGATAGTACTCTTATTTCCCTGTATATTATGTCGTACAGGCATGCGGTTAAAAATTATTTTACGGATTTTATCATGTATAGTTACGACTTGTTTTGTGTCCTCGTTTAGAAAGCTGTGCAGTATCTATATTATTAATTGTGGGGTGGACACTCTGGACAAAATCCATAAAATCGATTTCACCCAATATATTACTATTCACGTCATTATAAGAAATACAACAGTCATTTTATAATACCATGTTTTTTTAAAACTGTTACGTCGATTACATTTTCATCGATGTACTGATCGGGATGGTGTATTAGATGAAGTAGGATTCGCGGTCTGTTTCGAGAGGACCACTCGCAGATAGCGCAAGTGAAAGTGGCCTCTTGCAGCCTTTTCCTTCGCTCCTCTCCGTGCATCTTCGTCATATGCCGGGACAACAAAGCTTTCGAGCACGACGTGAAGCTACATCTCTTGCAGTCTTCATTTGCCTTCTGATGTTCCTTGAACGCGGACCTCTTGTAACTCTGATCGCACTTCAGACACTTAATCATGGCTTCACTATCGTCTAACTTCTCTTCTATGGCGTGCTTTTTTATATGACAGAGGAAGGAACGCGAGTGACGAGCGATGAAGTCGCAATGCGTACATTTCAGTGGGTTATTTGGACGATGTATCAGTTCGTGCTTCTTGGTGTTTTTCTTCGAGACGCTTCTGTAGGGACACTTGGAGCATTTGAATGGCTTAATCCCTTGGTGGATCCGGACGTGTTCCTCAAACATCGACTTGTTGTAGGTACTGTAGTCGCACATAGAACACTGGAACGGGTTCTCCCCTCTGTGCACCTTCCTAATATGCCGTTGCATCTTCTCCTCGTTTTCCGCTGTATACCTGTAGCATTCTGGACAGCGAATGCGACGTTTTTGAATTCTCAGATATGGGTCTTCGGTTTTCTTTAGCAGTTCCATGCTGTAGGAGTAAGTAGTAGTGTTAATTATTAACATAGCAGAAGAAGGATGGATGCGAATTGCCAAATAATGGTTCAAATAGAAGGCTTTTACCCAAGAGGGACTACATAAAACAAGAAATACTTTATAATAGTTCTATGTATTTATTTATTATTTTTGTTAACTCTTTAAATGTGTAGAGAAATAAAGCTTTATAATATTATTATTATTATTAAGAATGAAAACGCATATACGTTGTCACCCCTGAGGACTAGATGTAATGCCTCGTTTTCAGTAAAAACGGGGCTTCGGAACTCTACACTCACCATATGAAACACAGCAGCATTAAGCTGCTATTTTACGCTGGTATTCTGTGAGAGCGTGGTCTTCACGTAATCGAACCGACCCATTCGTGGTACAACCATAATACAGCTGCAGCATGGCTCTAGATAAGATAAGATAAGATGCTTTATTCCATTACCTGATGGAATAAAGCATCTTATCTTATCCTGATGATGCTTTATTCCAAATACCCATATTCAATTTTAAGTGGTACTTGTTTACTATTATATATCTGAAATCTTATCATCTTAGTTTTTTTGATATTAATTTGTAAATTATTATGTCATAACCAATATATTATTGTTTCTAAAGTCTTATTTATTTCACGTTCGTAGTCAAAAAATTTATCCAATAATATTGAAAATAATTTTCAATATTAATGGTAATGTCATCAGCATACTGCACACATTTATTTGTTACAAAGATCGTTTATATAGATTATAAATAATACGAGGTCCTAGTATACTTCCTTGTGGCACTCCGCATTTATATCCGCAATATTGTGATCTATAATTTTTTCTATGGTGTCCTGAGTAACTTGATAACTCAACGCATTGTTTTCGTTGACTTAAATAATCTTATATTAATTTTAATGCATTGCCTCTTACACCATATCTGCTAAGTTTGTGTAACATTAATTCGTGGTTAACAAAGCCAAATGCCTTAGACATATCAATGAAAATGGATGTTATAAGTATTTTCTTGTTTAGGCTAGTATATAATACAACTACCTTTATTTGTAAGAATATGGTACATTACTGTTGTTACAAAAGAATTTAGATCCTAAATATTCTGCCGTTTCCGGCGTACAAATATTTTCAGACATTAATTATTATATAATATAAAGATACTTGCAGCAGTACTTACGGAATCTAAATCTATATAAAACAAGAATCAATCAATTCATAATATTTTTAGGTAAAACATGTCAAAAAATTAAATTCAGCAATTCAATAATTACAATTCGAGTCAAATTTATCATTTAAGAATTCATTTATTGAGTAATAACATTTATTTAAAAGAAATTGACATAATTTACTTTTAAAGATTCCTTTCATCTTTTTGAAACAAACAGGCAATTTGTTGTAAACATGTATTGCCATACAATATACACTGTTTGAGTAGTTTAATTTATGTATGTTTCTACTAACCCTAATTACAACATCGTTGTGTTTTTCAAATAAACTACTATTTTTGTGAACAAATACACAGATTTCAGATTATATACAGATACAGAGATTATGTTTTGGCCATACGGTGAAGTGGAGAACGAATGCCCGCATTCGTTCGGCAGGATAAGGTTGCAAACAATCTATGCAGACGTGTAGACCTCATTAATGATCGAGGAAGTACGCTATAACAAAGTTTGTTTGATATTTCTATAGAGTCATATCTATTATGAGTAAGATCATGTACTAACATTACTTCAAGTTGTGTGCGTCTAGATTTAAGATCGATTAAATTGTATGTTTTTAGTAACAAATTATACGACAATCGTTTGCGGTGGCATTTAAAATGTATGTATCGAAGATATTTCTTTTGTATCCTTTCAAGCATATAATTGTATTTTTCATAAAGTGGATTCCATATTGATACAGCGTATTCTAGCTGACAACGTATCAATGATTTAAATAAATATAAGAATGTAGAAGTTTGTTTAAACATAACACCTGACCTAATGACGAACCCATACATTCTAAATGCTTTATTAATAATGTTCTCTATATGTACATCGAAATATAGTTTACTATCAAGTGTGATTCCAAGATCTTTAATAGTGTTTTCTTTTGTTAAGGTTATTCCGCAAAGTGAATAATAGTAATTACTAAAATTCCTCTTTCTTGTGAAAGTTATGGATTTGCATTTATTAATGCTCAGTTCAAGTTTATTTTCACTGCAGTATAAAGAGAGTTGATTCAGGTCATTTTGGAGTTTAACATGATCGTCTAAAGTGTTAATAATCTTGTAAATCTTTAAATCATCTGCGTATAAAAGAAACTTACAGTGATCAAAACATTTATTAATATCGTTAATGAATAATACGAATAGTAGAGGGCCAAGAATGGAACCCTGTGGTACACCTGAGCTTATATTTACACATGGAGATTCGAATCCCTTAATAACGACCTTTTGAGTTCTATTCGATATGTAAGATTTAAACCATCTCCAAAGGTTTCCTCGTATACCATTAAAGGCTATCTTTTGAAGGAGGATTTTATGATCCACCCTGTCAAAAGCTTTGCGAAAATCAGTGTACACGCTGTCAATCTGTTTATTTGTATCTAGTCCTTCAAAGAGATCCGTTGTATAAATAAGTAGATTAGTAATCGTGGAACGACGCTCAACGAATCCATGTTGTTGCTGTACAATGGAACTATGGAGACATGGGTAAATAGCTTTATGTACTAATCTTTCGCAAAGCTTCGACAGGGTAGGCAAAATAGAAATAGGCCTATAATTTTCTACGTCTTTCTTGGATCCTCCTTTATATACAGGGACGATTCTGGCTGATTTCCAGATCTTAGGAAAGACACCATCACGTAAACATTTATTAAATAAATAGCATATAGGTTCATCAATAGTATCAGCAGTCTGTCTCAAGAAATAGGCATTAATGTTATCAACTCCAGCACCTTTATTAACATCAAGCACTTTAATTGAGGTATGAACTTCTTCCTTTGAAATTTCTAAACTACAGATTAAGGTATCAGGCGTTTGACGGTCATCTATATTAATATCTTTAATTTCAAAGTTGTCTGGTACAGAAGAAGGTTCGAATACTGATTGGAAAAACGTCGAGAAAAGACTGCATACTTCAGAAGGTGTATTGGCAGTTACGTTTTTGTAGTGCATTGTGTTGGGTATATCTGAGTTCTTTTTACGATTATTAATGTATGTCCAGAAAAATTTAATGTTATTTTTTATACTGTGTTCTACATGTTTGAGGTAAGCTTTATAACGCCGATCCGACATTTCTTTAAATTGTTTTCTGTGTATAGCAAAAATACAATAATTTGATTCCGTATTATATCTTTTCATTTGTATCCAGGCACGCTCCTTTTTCTTATATAAATTGATAAGTGCAGGAGTAAACCAATTAGGAAAAAGTGACGATTTAATAACTTTTGTAGGCACATGTTTTGTTATTATTGCATATATCCTTTCATAGAAATTAGAAACTGCCTCCTCTACTTCTTTTTCCATGAAGAGAAGATTCCAATTAGTATTTGCTATTTCTTCATTAATTTTTGCATAGTCCGCGTGTTTGTAACAATATTTAAGATAGTTTTTGTTTTTCAAGCGTTTGAGTTCCTCAAGAAAAGATACAACTACCTGGAACGGAGGGTGATGTCCATCTGGTGGAATCAAAGGTAATTGTACAGGAGAAGTTTTGCTATTTATATTATTACTGATGCATAAGTCTAATATATTATTTGTTTTATTTTTTAACGAATTCAACTGATAACATTCAAGTGATGACATAAAGTTAATTAAGTATCTGTGCGTTGGAGTTATATCACAATTCATAATTGGTTGAGTGAAAATGCCTTTATTTTCCCACTTTAGACTAGGCAGATTAAAGTCACCTATTATATAAATGTCAGTATCTAAATCGTGCACCGCGCTGTGTAAAACGTCTAAATAAGCACGGTATGTGTCGTAGTTCTGTTTAGGTGGGATATACACAGCGCAAATAATCAGTTTACGTTTTCCTATGTTGAGTTGAATCATCAACTGGTCAACAAGAGGTGGGAGGGGTACGTCGGCGGCGGGCAGCGCGAGTGCAGTAGCACAGAGCGCTCGCGACACGGCAACAAGCACGCCACCTCCATCCCGCCGGCCACTGGTCGATCGGTCCCGATCCATCCTAAACACCTGATACCTAGAATCAATGTATTCACTATCGGAGATGTCGTTACGCAACCAAGTTTCTGTTAAGATTATTATGTCGTAGGTACTGGAGATAACATTAGTGTAAAGAGTGTGTAGTTTTGTTTTAAGTCCTCTGCAGTTTTGGTAGTACAGTGTTAAATAACTATTAGCCATTTTGAATGAATAATTCCTATGAAATTTGAGAGATATAATTAATGTAATATACCATTATTGAGACTGTTGCCAAATAATTTTTACTAAAATAATTAAGTGCTATGTTTTGTACCGTTTTCCAAAATTCCATAAAACATAAATTATTTTCCACTTCATGGTTATAACTCAGATTAAAACCGCACAAGTTATTATAATACATACAGTGATATTTATGACATACTTTATCATAACAGATTAATGCACTATTTTCAGTATAGGAACACACAACAAAAATTATTATTATTTGCAATTCGCACAAACAAGAGACACGGGGTAAATAACAATAGACATAGGGTAGACTTATTATTTTTTTTAACCGTGATACTGATATATATATTTTTACACGATAAAACAAAAAATGCAAATTGTTATTGCAAATATTGGTGATGAATCGGTTTGGCGAACAAGTACAGTACCATGCTTAATCCAAGTATATTTATAATTATGCTTTTTCGCAGCGACACGGCATAAACGAAATAATTGTTTATTTTTTGGAGTCAGGTGTTCATTTAAATAAATGGTACACGGAGTGCCAGAGATTGAGAGTTGGTCAGATCTGACTCCTCTTACTGCCCTCGCCGCCAGAACTATGTT